TTTTATTTTATTTATTCAATCCTTAATGTCAGTAATGACTAAATAAATCATGTTCAGAAAATAAATCAATAACTGAGGTATATGAACGATACGTAGATGAGAATATATTAAAAATTAAAATAGAATTCACAAACAACTAAATTATAAAAAAAAATAATTTTAAAGCATGTATAGGATAAAATTATTTAATATATTCACAATTAAGATTATTGGATTTTACAAAGTTTATCAATTTGAGTGTTATCAAAAAATTATATTTAAAATATATGCATGTTTACNTTATTGGATTTTACAAAGTTTATCAATTTGAGGGTTATCAAAAAATTATATTTAAAATATATGCATGTTTACTTGCATTAAAATAAGCATATATATTAAAAAAGGGCCTAGACGAATATATCAGACCAAAGGTAATTAAACGCTAACGTCAGCTAAAGTTTTTCTCGAATAAGTCGAAATTTTAAAACGCTCGCGGGTGAGCGACAGAAATTTTCCTATCTTTGCCAATAATTTTTCGATAGTACTTTTTTATCTACTCAATGTTCAATGTATCGTCGATAGACTTTTATTACTATGTCACATAGTATTCAAATCTATGTGCGATTTTATATATTGATTGCAATTTATGAAGTTCACTTTAGTGAAACATTTATTATGAATTGTGTATATTTGGCATATTGTTTTTAAACGTGGAAACTGATTTAAATCTTATAAACACATTTTAACACATATTAATTTTATATTAAATTGAAAAACTACAACATATTTGCATACTGAGTAAAATAACTTTTTTTTATGATTATTTTGTAAAATTATTTAAATGAAAAGAATTCACAATGAATTTTAATATTTAATTATTCTGAATCAAAATGGTTGTAATTAAAAGTACAGGCTGAAACGAAATTTATATTTTATAAGTAATTTCATTTAAAATGCAGCATTTTTAAATTTTAAATATTTAATAATGTTGAAAAAACATTTATTTAGCGTTAAAATAGCTTTTGGGGGAGAGCTGGGTAAAACTACGCATCAGAAATTCTCAAAAACTATACATAAATTACATCATTCAATACCTAAACAACATGCATATCTTACTCGTGGCAGAATTTGTTGGTTCGCGGAGCGTAGCAGAAGAACATTGTGACCTAATTGATATGTTTACAAATAAAAAACAATCTAAGCTCCTTATTTCTTCTCACAGTTTTTTCAAACTCAAACTTGTAATGTTTCATTTATTGTATGGTTAATTGCCGAATTTCACCAATTACCAGTTTTATCAATACCGTGCTTTTTCCTTTTGTTTGTAATATTTTAATAATTGGGGCATGATAGAATAGTTAACATAAGAATTATCTTATATATAAAAAGAAATATTTAAGCGTTTTTAAACAAATAACAGTAAACTTACTTAACTACTGAATCAGACAAATAATTTTTATCAACTATTATTCAAAAAAAATATTAAGTTATTCTCAAAATTTTCAGCTACTAGATAATTAATAGTAATAATATAACTATTAGGGTGGCTCTCAAAAATTGAATGTTTTTTTTTTTGTGCTATCTCTTAATTTTCTTTTAATTCTAATAAAAATGAGCTGTGCGAAATTTGTGACCGATCCGTTAAAGTTAACCAGTGCTCCCGGACCTATTAAGTTGAATTTTAGAGGCAAAATTAATAGAAATGAGCAACTGATCTATGCCTCATAACGTTTTTGTTTTCTTAACTTAAAATTATGAAAGTAAAACTTACGTAAGGGAAATTTTACAAAAAAATGTAAAAATAATAATTTTAATGTTTTTTTCTTAACAAATAGCTTAATAAATAGAAAAATTTATTAAGAAAATATTAAGAAATAGTCACGGTATCAAAAGTTATAAAAATTAAGAGTATATATATATATATATATATATGATCACTCTATATAATATAGTTTGATTCAATAATTCATTAAAGATTATAAATATTAAGATTGTTTTTTTTGTTTTTAATTTTGTTATTAACGTCATTAAATGCATAATTTGTGGTTTATTTTTAAATAAAAATAGTGTGAAAATATTATGTTCATGTTGTTTAAAAATTGACACAATATAATTTGTACTAGAAGTTATTTATTGTTATTCATTATTTATTATAAACGTTGGTCGCATAATAACTTTGGTCCTTATACGTTAATTGATGCTTAGTTTTTGTTATTAGTGAGGTGGACACAATGCCCATACATTCAGACCTGTTGTGCACACCTCACACCGAATTTTCTTGAATCGGTTTACACACCTCAGTGTTATCACTATAGTGTTATTAAATTATACCTATCATTGACTATCAAGTCACCTCCTGTGGATGTTGTGCTTATTGGCATACTGACATTTATTCGAGGTTTTAGATCCCAACTGCCAGCACCTACCTTTCCAGATTTTTTGCATTTATCTGTATATATTATACATCCTCCATTCTCAATAATCCATTCTCTACATGTAGTGATTTCCACCTTGAAGGCAATGGTAATCTTAAGAACCGGTTTGATATAGTCCAAGGTGTATTTCAAAATACCCATGCCTATTTTAGTATTTTATCGTGTTCTGTTGTGTTTCTCTCCGTAGTCCAGATACCTAAGTTGTGGAATCTTAGTTCTATGGCTTTGTCGTGAGCTATGACCTCTAGATGCAAAGGATGTATTTCGATTAGTGCTTCTAATGCAACCGTTGGCGTAATTCTTAGTGATTCAGTGATGACTATGGCAGCCATTTTCTGTATACGCCTGAGTTCTTTCCTAGCTGTAACGACTTCAACAGACCAGGATACCGCACAAGACTATACGTTTAATTACTGAAATGTGCAGCTGCAAGTCCACAGTTCGGTCATTGCTTTTTTGCCTCTTGACTCAACATATGATTTCTATTTTAGCTTACTATCTAAGATTATACCTAAGTATTTTAGTTCTGATTTAAAGCTAATTATTTTTTCATTTAGAGTAAGCGTGATAAATTTGTCTAGTCCCGTTTTCCTCCTAGTGAACATAACTACCTTTGCTTTATTTGGATTAATAGATAGACCATACTGGCTTCACCATACATGTATAGTGTTTGGTTTCTGTTGTGTTAAATCTATAATTGTCTCGGAATTTTCCCACCACTATAATTAAGTCAACCGCATAGGCTTGTGCATAACAGAATTTGTTTAACTCTTTAATAAGTGAGTCCATTACTAGACATCATAACAAGGTATAGAAACCCTTCCTTGTGGACGTCCTTATTTAAGACTCCTGAATATCTTGGTTTTATTGAGTTGTCCAAAGATGGAGTGATCTTTAAGCATGGTTTCTATCCATTTAATTATAAGTGGATCTATCAAGATAAAAAATCCCATAAATTTTACCGGTGTAAAAAATGTATATTAATAATCATTATAAAAAATTATTTAGCTTATGTAAACATATTATTGCTCTTTTGTGTATAAGAAAACCAAATTGTAATTTAGTTTTGTTATAATTATAAAATTCATCATTATAATGATCAATTTTTGCTTTAAATCCGAATTTTGAAACAATTTTAAATCACAAACGAATTATTAGAACAAAACTGTTTGGTAACATTTTTATATAACATTATCAAGTTAAATATTGGAGTTTCCAATTGAAAAATTAAAAATTATGGTCATTTAACTCTAAAGGGATGAAAAAAATTGTTTAGCAAAAAATTTTTTTAAGTTTTTTAAGGCCAATAATTTTTCTTTTTACAAAATTTAAGATTTTCAATAGTTTTTTTTTAAAATTAATGCCTTAATAAAATTAGATCATTACGTATTTCTAACTCAAAAAATAAATAGAAGTTTATAATATAGAGTTATTACGTTTTATATCCAAAGAATGATTTTTTTTAATTCTTGTGGGAGTAGTAGACATTAGAAAAAAAAGTAGCAAACAGATTTGAAATATCATATCCATTAAAAACAGTAT